CCCCCCCCCCCCCCTCCGAAATTCTGTCGCTCGAGAGAAAGTTCTTCTTCTAAGTTTTCATTTATAAGGTGACGTTTTTTAAGGTGTATTCTTATTAACTCAATCTGATTATTCAGTTTRAAATACAGCCTAATAAAATTGTGCTTTCATCGCTGCTAAAAACAATTATCAAAAGCGCTGTCGTTGTCATAGTGACTGACAGATATTTATAGATTCACCTGCGATTTAATAAATTTTTTGTACCTTGATTGGCAATCTAGAGTGCGCCGTAGTCAGTCAAATTACGTTGTATTACTAGGCTTAAGTTCTGGCATTGAATGTTGTCAGTTCTTTGGATGTTGTGACGATAGGACAAGAGAAGATAGAGTGATTCAGCATATTGAAAACCCAGATACCTTTTAAAAACAACAGAAAAAGAGGTGAGAASTGAAAGATTATTTGAAAATAGATTCTTTTCCTTTGGAGGAAAGTATAATCCCATTAAGAGATAATGTCAGAGAGAAAAGACGATTTTAATGGTTAAAACAGGAATGAAAAAACTTAAATCATTCTAGTGAATTCAATATTTAGTGTTGACTTGCTTACTTGGTTATCAAACCACGATTTACTAAACTTCGTAAAATATCACAAATAAAGCTTACTTTTTAACTGAAGATGGGACAACATTTTTTGACGCTGATTTTCGGAAAATAATCGTTCTTTGATGTTTGAAAAATCATACTATTTTAACGAAAAGGAATGATCTTTGACGAGGACGGTAAAACAGARCTCAAATTTACGATATTTGCTTCTAAGCGAAATATTTTTTCACTCGGTTCAAAGATCTTTAAATTGATATTGCAAATCAAAAAGAAGTCAATACGGCTGAAATTGATTCTTGCCTAACTACGAGCTGTACACCCTCTGTCATTGATTTTGCATAGGATATGTTTATTTACTTCTGYATAGCTCTTATCCAATAGCATCCGAAGGAAGGATGATAATTCTTTACTACGTTTACGAGAATATTCCGCAATTTGAAAACGCTATCGGCATATCGAAACGAAAAAAAACAAAAAACAAAAAAACAAAAAACAAATCGGGATGGAGGTTTTTAGAAAACGCCGACGTCTACAGAAAGGTTTGCTCATAGAGAACTCATTGTCCATCAGCTAAGAGTTTTCTTATTAAAAATTGTTTATTTAAATAAACAAATAGCAGTTTCAAGTAAAAAGGTTGGAATAGACAAAATGTGGTTTGTTAGAGATTCTGTGTTCTTTATAAAAGATTACTGCAAGGCGAAAAGCAAAGAAAATGTTATTATTCTTTTTACACAGCTGGGCTTCGTGTTTTCTGTGTTAAATTGCCGTTCAATTACTCAACACCTGGAAATTAGTTCAAGTTKTTTTTTTTTTTTCGCCTTTCAGAAAAATAATAATGTATACGCAACGTAAACCTTTTTCTATGACTTTTTTTTGCCTCCAAAAGTTTTTCAAACAGGTTTTTTGGGAAAAGACTAGAAATATTTTGCGAGAGTTTCGGTCGAGCAGAGAAAAATTGGTTTCTCGGTCATTTAAGGCAAAATTATTTGGTCAAACATGAGTTGCAATTAAGACAAAGGTTTTCCTAGTGTGAAAATAATTCTTTTGTATTAGTAACCTATATTATGAAACTACGAAGAAAGAAATCCCCTATCCCCGTGTTAAATTTCTTTGAATYTTATTCCAGGTTGGGACTGTATGTGTTGTCAATTCTTTCAAGTATTCTTGATATCCTTCCAACGATATTACATCAAAGCTTTCCAGCACAAAACTAGAAGTAAGCCCTAGTTCGATTTTTATTCTACAGGACTCTTTCTCTCGATTTTTCTTCTTCTTCTCCTTCTTCTCCTTCTYCTCCTCCTACTTTAAATGCCTAAATTATCAAGAAGCGATATTCAATGATTCGTTCATCTTTTCTAAAAAATGCTGAACTATATATTCATGATAAAAGTTGTTCATTTCTAATTGGTAGACTTATTTTGCATAAACCTGSGAGGATACTTAGTTTGATTAGCTTCTGCTATTTCTAAGTGGTYCTCTTCCTGCAATTATATATCTTTCTATTTTAAATGAAATATAACGATGCTAAATARAAATGCTGTTGTAAAATCAACCAACGAGAGCTCACCCTTTGATTGATTCACCGGAATTTAATATACTAGACCTTTTTAGCAGGTAATCAATATATAAATAGTGTTAACTTGATGCGGATTTGATAGGATGTATATTAAGTTATGCAGTAGACACTCACAACTCACCAGGAAAGTCGTAGTTTAGACCCCTGGTATTAAATCCCGGCCTGAGGGTCAAATATGAAAAATGTTAACATTAAAATATATATATTTCAATCCTCAAGAGAAGGGAGTTCTCGCTTTGTTTTGAACTTCCAGGTTCAATTTCAATTTCATTTTATTTACAGTTTTTTTTTTTTTTTTTTAAATTTTACAAAATAGAATTACAAGAATATATGTTATGAGAGAGAAAATGAATGTTTTTACAGACTAA